GTCAAACATACTCTTAGAAAAAGATATTTTGCACCAGCGATGCTTTTTAACTAAAATCAATTCAACATATTCAATTGTTACATTACAATATTATGGATGATATGTTATAGTAGGACAACTAGATATGCAACAAAATATTAACACCACAGCACTTCATGCTGGATATGGACAAGAAGGTTGTAGAAATTAAGGTTCCTGAAAAGGACTTATTGCATTCACGGGGGAGGTGAATCATAGACAGATGTTGAAATATCTTAGCGACAGGGGTTACGAATCTCTTTCTTGCCTGCGCTACACTGGCCCTATAAAGGGCATCCCACTACAGCAAGCAGCCGCAGCAGCGCCACCTACTGAAGCAGCGTTAGTGTTAGGCGTGGCGGTGGATCAACTATTGCCACCGTATTCCGGACGGTGTCACTCTCTTCCATGGCTGCAACCTGTGCACGTGAGAAATAAGTCATATCCCGTTAAATGGCTTTTAGTTTCCCTTCCTCTTACCCGAGACTTTTTTAGGGGTGTGATAATCTGAATGGAAAGTTTTTGGTATTGTTTTTACCTCTTTTTGGAGGACCTCATTTTCTTTTCCCAGCAACCTTTTCTGTTTGAAGAAGAAGTGGGCTATGGATTAGCAAAACCAAATGCATTAAAGCATATGCCATATGGAAACAAACAGGAATGTCATATACCATTGCATAGTAAGAGAATCTCAAAGCTCTGTTCTCAGGTTCAAGGTAACATTACATGCTTTGTTTTTATTCAAGTTTAGGGGCTTATTGCAGATACCACATCAGCCTGTTTCTTTCATATACTGTTAATTTATAAGATACTTTTGTGGACAGATTATGTTACTAGTTGCATCAGTAATTTCAACAGATGATTTTTCCTATAGTACTGCTGCAACAGTCGACTTATAGCACCAGTTCTTAGGCCTCGAAACTACAACATTTCTAACTTTTGAGAAAAACAAAGAAAGAAAGGTTTAACAATCTCGACTTTCAGCGCTTGTGTCACTAATCAATTATAATCTGAAGACGATGACATTCTATGAGTAGTCATTCGTAAATGGTCCAATCATTTATAGCTTAAGTTTCATGCTGTTGATAAATAAAAATTGCCATATTCATGCTTGTGCAGTTCAAATGCCCTGTATTTTAAACAACATAGCAGTGTAGAACAAGCCAATAGTAGATTTCCTTTCAATATTCAAGTAAAGTTAGGGCCCAAGGTTGAGGTTTGGCAGGCATTTTCTATTTAGAAATGGCAAGTTGCATACCTTTTCATGGAGGTTCCTAAGGTATTCCATCATCAATTCTGTCTGCACATAAAATTGACAGAGAGTCAGAATCTCAATGAACTTGACAAATATTTATAGGAGCCCATACCACAGAACAGCGTTCTTGACTGGCACTCCTTGTGATTTTGAGTTGGTGAAGTAGAAATTTTAGTTGGCTACTCAAATTCTCCTCATGAATCATGCATCCCTTGCTCAAATTCAAGCAACCATGAACTCTATCATCAGGTAACTATGAGTGGAACACAGTCCCTACTACGTAACCTAAAAAGTGACATGATCTGATGCCGGACGGTTACGTCAATTATCGAATATCCTTCATAGTTTACTGTCTTTAATATAAGAATCTTTCTTGCCTTAAAGTTGAGATAAAATAACTTAGAAAGTATATATCATCAGCTCCAATATAAAGGTCTTAGGGTTTAGACCCTGTTAAATGATGCAATATAACTAACCAGCAAGAAATTACATTTAGACTTTGCTAAACCATGCAGGAGAATTAATTAACAAGAAACTTTGTAGAGAGGTCATCTCTCTAAAGAGTACAAGGGGAAATTTTTTTATCCAACCAATAAGCAAGTGTGAAACAACACTGAGACAAATTAGCTTCTCCATTGCCCAACCATACTGGCACAGATAGACTAAAGCTAGCAAATTATGAAAAGTATTGGATATACATATGGAAATAAGATGAGGGAAAAGAACTTGTTGGGCCTAGCTGAGTGGGAACAAGAGTTTCTCTGTAGAAAAGAGTATAGGCGATCAACACATGATAACATGTCAATTTCATAGGAAATATTTTCTTTTTCACATTTTATAAACTTCCAACATCTACATTATATTTTGCATTTAGGTTCTTCTATGTCGGTAAATAGAGAAACTAACCTTTCTATCCCTAGTTTCTGAAAGTGACATACTGAGTTGGTTCTCTAGTTTTGTAAGGTCAGTCATACTCAGCTGCCCAATGTTTGGTTGTTCAAGTTGGCTGTGGTGACATAAACACCAAGTCAATTAACAATTCACATGACACTATGAGGTGAATGCAAACTGTAAGAAACTCACCTTTCAACCATATTTAGCAGCTCTGCACATGAAATAAACTGCCAAGCAAAAATTTAGTGGCTAGTTAGCTAACAGTTCAAACAAATACAATAGATGCAACTGAACTGAATCTTTTTTGTCCTGAGTTCATTTTTTGTGTTTTCAGTAACAAAAACTGTACCTGAGAGAGGTCTTGAATTTAAAACTGGAAGAAGCTTTGATTGGAGAATGGAGATTGTATAGATGCAAAAAAATAATTCCAAAAGTTCAGATATTGTTCTGGTTTGAAACTTTTAGGATGATGTGATATATAAAGACCATATTTGCATATAGCGATACTAGAAAAATGCATAAAATGTTATACGGTAACCGAGCAAACTGTATAGGCTAGAAAAATACAAACAATAGTAACTCGGTTAGGATATGCTCTGAACCAAATATCTGATAACCAGTTAACATAGGTGACAATTGCACATTTTCAAGAATCCCACTTATTGATTAGGTTTTAAGTTAATGATGCAAGACAAAATATGGCCTTTTAATAAATAATTCTCTTTGCATCAAATGAAATCAATATTTCTTAAACATTACAGTATAGATAGTGTGTGTTAACTTAGTGTCTTAGTCCTTAATCACACATAATATGAGGGGATGATTAACCTATTCCATTTAATCCAACATGTTCTCAATAAAATTAAATAGGACCATAAAGTACATGCAAGAAACTGAGAAAACTCAACTTACTGCTGGTTTAGAACCTTTTGCAGACTCCCTTCCATTGTGACTCCAATAACGTTCAAAGGTGCTGCCCAAACTGAATGATAAAAATTAATTAGGTTAACCTATCTAATGGACTTACTTAATTGTAATTACAATACGGTACTTTAGGCAAAAATACAGTAAATCAGATCGATACATACAACACATGGATCTGAAGTAAATTGCTCATGGAAGGCAATGCCATACAATGCCTACGGGCATCTGCCCATCTTTCTATTTTTTAAAAAGCCGAAAGGTAAAACAATTGGAAAATTGATGGACTAAACCACAAAAAAAAAAAAAAAAAAGGAAAAACAAAAAAATTGCATGACACTATTTTTATGGGCCCTTCTTTAACAAGAGATCAACAAAATCTAGGTTTTCAATTTTATCGTAATATTAAAGGTTAAATGTCAATGTTAATCCCTCAACTTTAGGAATTTTGTCCAGTTTTCATCTCTCAATTTTAAAAAATGTGCAATTTTATTTTTAGTTTATAAATTTATAAGTTGAAGGATTAAAAATGCACATATATAGACAAATTTAACTGAAAGATGAACGAAAAAAGTGTATGTTTTAGAGTTAAGAGATAAAAAATGTGCTTAAAATAGTTAAAAGACAAAAGTTGAGGGACTAAAACTGGCATTTAACCAATATTAGACTATGTATTAGAGATGTCTAAGTATCATTCTAATGTCAGTACTCAGATTGGACCTCAGTTTCTTGTGCATCTAAGATTGGACCTCAGCTTCGTGTGCATCTAAAAAAATTAATTCTATTATATGCCCCACCACCAGCCAGCAGTGGGATATGGCCTTGAGACTAGTCACCTTTTAGTCATGCCTTGTATAACACTGCTCTACAGCTTCTTGGAAGCTTTCATTCACCAATCAAACCTTTCTTCCCTCCAATTAGAGCTCAACTCAAGTAGCTTAGTTCATTATAACCCTACTTGCCTCATGTAAACTCTCACTTGGACTGGGAAAAAATAGCCACATGGAAAAGGAAGCAACTCACACTATGAAGATCTAATGATTGGTTGGGGGATGAGTGGGGCTATTAGCAAGTAGGGTAGTTCGTGAGCTACTTAAGTCAAGGTCTACCAGAGATTGGTTCATTTGGTAAACAGGTTGAGCTTGTCAAGCTTGATAAAAAAAACAAGTTTGAGCTCAAGCTTATATGTGTACTCGCAAGCTAATCATGTGTATCCAACTTAGAATTAAAAATTATATTATATATTTATTACAATTTAGAGAATATTGCATATTATGTCCCAACTCCCACAAAAAATTTAGAGTTCCAACTTTAAAATACCACTCTACAATGAATATTTTTAAACATTGACAGTTTGGATTTAATGTTTATTCATATAGATCATAGAGTCAATTTTTAGATTGATTGAATATATCTAACTAGTTTATTAATCATACAAAATATAACACCATTAAATATATAAGTTTCTTGATCAAATAGTTATAGATGTTGATCAATTTGAAAATTAACATGCATAATCTATGATTAGTTTTTCAAGACACTCACTAGAGTATGGTGTTTTTGAAGTTGAGATTTTAATTTTTCAATATATGATGACTTATATGCACTATTCTCTAAAACTTATATACTTAAATGACTTGTAATATAATGAAAAGTTACGTTAGGGTAGCTTAGGCTGAGAAGGGACATATTCTCATTATTTTAGAGAATATAAACTTTTAAACTTATGTAATGACTAGAAATATATAATGAAGTCATGGGCAATTTTATTATTATTATTATTATTATTATTATTATTATTATTTTGTTTCAAGACTTATATGCACTGTTCCCTAATTTAAATATATAATGACTTATAAACTTAACAAGGCTTAAAAGGGACATATTTTTGAACATTTTAAAACTACTAATAAAAATGTTTAAATGGAGTTTAAGGTTGTTATTTTACTATTGGACTTAACATAATGCTCTTATTTAACCTTTTGGTACTACAATGTTTTTGAAAATGTTGAAAAGTTTATAGTTCAATGATTGGTTATTGAAACAATTTAAAATTATAAGACAAAAGCTCAAATTTAAGCTCAAAAACTTGCTCAAGCCCATGAGCAAATTTTAGCTCACTATAATACTCGTAAGTTTGAGCATGAGCTCAACTATTTTGAGCTTGATTCAAGTTTGACCATTTAAGGTGAGCTCGAGCATGAGTACTTAAGTACTCGACCCTTTAATTGCCTAGGCATGAGATGTACCTTATGTTTTCCTCAACAATGAAGGTTTTAACCTTTAATTTTTTGTACTATAGTTTGCTTCACATAAAACATAGAGAAAGAACTATAGAGACTACTAAATGCATGATATAGAAACATTATAAGCATGCAAGAGAAACATTAAAAAAATATGCAACTTAGTTTTAATATAAAAAAAGGGTATATATCCTTTCTCTTTTTAGTCCCTTGTTCCAAATTTATAGTTCTAAGGTTGGCACTTTGGATAAACAATGTTTGGAAAAGGAAGCGTATGATATTGGCTGCTCACAACAAAACCAACAAATTTAAAGAAAGACGTATACTATCTTCCAAAAATACAAAAGTAGGCCACAAAAGCTACATAAAAGGATTTTATTGTTCTTACTTTTCTCATGGTTTTTTAGCTTTTTAATGTGAGAGCTAACATCAACATTAAGCCTAAATTTCTAAACAATTCGAATTTTCAGGGTGAAGAATTCTGTATCTTAAAAATTAGATAAGAAACAAAAGAGAGATAATTTTAGAGAAAATGATACCATGTAAGGTAATTTTTGTATATTCGGATTCACTTGGGTGTCTTAGTTTTAGATTTGTGATCATCCCAACCTTATCACCATTGTATTTTGCTTTTGGGACCTTGGATCATTATATTAAATAAATTTATGTTAACTAATGAAAATTTGTAGTCTTTATCAGATAAATTCAAAAATTTTTAAACTTGAAACTAAGACATATATTTCTAAATTTCAAGAGTTAACTTTACAATTTCTGTCATACCAACTTGTTTGGAATCTTTCAAAAGAATTTAAAAATATAACCTCAAGGCTAAACCCCCAAATTTGTCCCCTAAATAGGGGACAGAGACAGATCTGACCTTAAAAAATTAAGGACAAATTATTTCTCTAAATTATTGATCAAAACAGATTACTCATTATTTAATGTGTGATGTCATCGCACCTCAGTTTTTCATTTGTCACCTAAACCTATTTTTAATGGAAAATTGATATATAATGATATTACACGTTAAATAATGAGTAATTTATCTTTATTGATAATTTAAATTGATAATTTATCCCTACAATTTTTTGAAGAGCAAATCTGTCCCTACTTTCCCATTTAGGAATGAAGTTGGGAGTTTCACCTAACCTTCAATTGGGTTAAAATGTACATTTTAGAAACCATTTTCAAGAATGAGTGCGAAAGAGCTGTTTAGGTTATTCAATTTTTCAGAAGATTAATTAGTAAAATACATCAAGTATCGATTTTATCTGCCAAAAAATAAAAAAGGTAAAATACATCATATTTGAGTAAACTGATTCCGAGGCAACCAAAAAGAAAGTGGAAAGAATTTTTGTTTGACTCTAATGGTAGGCATATGATTGACAATCAATAATCTAATACTTCTCATGTGACATTATTGCGTTTCCCCAATGGTCTCCTAAGACATCAACGTGCCTTTAACCATTGCATCAATGCTTCATTTCCGTATCTCCTAATTTACAGAATATAATGGAACCCGATTTCTTTATACGTCTTCTAAATAAAATAAAAAAAATTTCTCTTAGTTGAAGAGTAAAGAAACTTTTTTATATATTCAAAGTTATCAAATTCAAACGTGAGACTTCTTTAACCATTCCCATTTGTCTAATCAATTTTATAATTAATAAAAAAAAATACATCTAAATTGTGAAGACATAAAACTAGCATCTGTAGACTATCCATTCCCCCATGCCATCCTTAATTAACACCATTAAATTAATCTGAGCTACACCAACCCTATATTTTGACTTTGTCATCAATAATTTGCAACCAACTAAAGGTATTTCCTCCGTGCCCCTGACTCATGTTTGCACCCTCATGTTTGCACCCTCCCTTTTTTTTTTTTGGAAAGGCAAAACATATTTATATTTAATTTAATGTTAAGGGATACTCTAACCCATACATAGCAATTGGAGCAAATACATTGATGCCCAATCAAGAGCCTCTATTTATCTTATATCAATTCCCAATCATACCCTATAAATTATTCTCCCATTCAAAATTTATGTTGCCTATCCTTATCATGTAAGACCCACCATCCTCTTGTGTCCATTTATTCCACGATCTTTGCCAACTTTAAGCAGGAGGAGGGCAACAAGGAGTATTTCACACTTTTTTTTTTTCTCTTTTGGAGGGGGCGAAAAAGGAAGACTAGAAGATAACGAAATCCATGAAGCTTAGAACGAGGCAATATCACTACACATAATATAAGAAGACTGAAAGCCAACTACAGTCTGCTACTGATGTTTGCTAGTGCATTTCGCGCTCATATGATATCAGACGCATGGAAAAGGTTAAGCCTCGAAATCATGCTCAATCATGACATGAAACAATGTTTATCCAAAACGGTAACATCAAAAAACAAAACTGTTGCAGAGAAATGAAGAATTCAAAAAAAAAAAAAAAATTCAAGTAAAATTGAAAATAAAATATTATGAGCCATGCCAACTTAATCTATAGACAACTTGATGAATTAAAATACGGAATCCAAGATCTCTAGACAAATATGATTTCAGAAATCACATGTATTGAGTTTCATGAGAAAACAAACTCGAAATAGGCGTACGGAAGCGTACGGCGTGGCGGTTTGTGCTTAGTTTTTATGTGATTTTCTCGGTTGCCAAACAAGGAAGAAAGGTAACGAAATGGGGGGAAAAAGGCGTACGGCGTACCTGTTGGTACTAGAGAACTCGTAGGACTTGCCGCGGCTGGAGAAGATGACGACGGCGATATCGACGTCGCAGAGAATGGATAGCTCGCGAGCTTTCTTGATCAATCCAGAGCGGCGTTTGGAGAAGGTGACTTGACGGCTACTCTTGTCTTCGATTCGCTTCATCTCCACCTTCCGCCTCCCCATTCTCAGGCGATTTTAGCCCTAGAGAGCGATAAAGAGAAGAGACCGACACAGTGTTGAGTAACAGCAAAGAGATACAAAAGCA